TGTGATTTATAGCGTGTATTATAAAAGTTGTTAAGTTTAAAGTGACGAGAAAGCTTCTGACTGTGGAAATTCTGTGTATTAAAGTTTGTATCAAAGAAGAATAAACTGGTTTAATTAAGAAAGGACTTGTATCGCTGAAGTTCCTCTGAAAGAATTTCTACTGGAAATTAACAAACAAGCAGATACGCAACAGAACCTTGCCCCACCACACACACACACACACTTTTAATTTGCCTCCTATACCTTTGGCACTGATACCTTCCAGTAGTTAGCCTCAAACAGAATGAAAAAATACATAAAACAGTCTGAAAATAAAAATGGCAAAAAGCTTTAATTAGGCTTGTTAATCGGTATTCAACCAAGGGAATTTCCAGTAAAATAATCGAAGTGTGACATAAAACCTCACAATGAACCTAATGACAGTAAGAAAAAGGTAACAACAGTTTTCAAAATATATGTTGAACAGTTTGATATAGAAATCATGGGCATCTGCAAGGAAGGGGGGCATTTGCCCCCTGTGTATTATCTAACAAAAATGGGTAAAAAAAAAATTCCATTTCCCTAGTTATAGCTTTGATATAATTTTGTCATCTCTGTAGTATATCCTATGGACACCCCTGATTGAAATCAGTTTATAGTTGCAGTAAATACATAGCTTTTTAAAATTATATTTATACTTTAACTTAACAATTGTATGTACATATATACATTCATACACAGGGTGAGTCAAAACTCCTAGTTTTTCCCTATTGTTGTGAAGTAGGTGTGGAATATTGAAAATCTGCTGACACGGATTGTTTAGGCTTAATGGAGCCATTTGTTACAAAAGCTGGGTGATTTAATCAATTACCTATGACCAATAGTATAGGAAGTGGGGGTCAACCCCCCTCACTTTTCAATCTGTCCCATTAAAAATATAGAAAAGTTAATCCAGAACCCAAGAGCTTCCAGGGCCCTCAGCTCCGCTCGGTCAAATAAAGCTTGCACCCCCCCCCCACTTTTAATTTACCTCCTATACTTATGCATTAATCAGTGTCTTGTAAACTAACTGATTAATCAAAAATATGATTAATTGATTAATGTCATGAAAATAATCAACTAAACAAAGCTAGTGTTATTGATTATTCGAACAATTGATTGATTAAAATTATGATTAAATCAATTGTTGTGAAAATAGTCAATAATCAAAATTAGGGTTTCCAATTACTCTAACTATCCAAGTAATTGAAATATTGCCATTATGTTTGTAGTTTAACACAAACCTATATAATTGGAGAGATGGGGGGAGCACCTTGTGTTCGATTCCCATTGCTACTAAACTTGCTCGACCTGTCTTTATTGCAAAACTGCTAAAGCTATCCGCCACTATCAATAATTTTGAACTGCTAACTAGATGGAAGGCAACTGGCTGACAGCACCCAACACCAACACTCTTTAAATAATGTGTAAATTTATTGCTTTTGAGATTGTGTTATGTTTCTGATTTATAATTGGGTAACTGTATCCTTTAACATTGTATAAGAAGTGCAGATCTATGAGGTCTAAATCCCCTCCATTTTGTCAGGAATTAATAACTGTATTTTTTAAATTTATATAAGCATGCACTGACCTAGGGGGTCCAGGGGGGACAAACCCCTCTACCCATGTTTTTCAGAAATAAATTACTATTATTTAATGTTGTATAGCAGGCATGGATCTAGGAAATAGGTTCAGGAGGACTACCCCCTCCAACCATTTTGTTTATTTTTCATGAATTGATAACTGTATCATTTAATGTTGTATAAATAGGCACAGATCTAATGGTGTCCAAACTCCAAATCTATATTTTTTTTCAGAAATAAATAAAAAAACTGCCAAATGTTCTTATTCTATCCTACAACAAAAAGGAACATCAGATGTCAGTATTTTTATTTGATTGGGCTGTTAATTACTATAAAATATTTCTTTTTTTGTGTGGGGTGATGGTGAGGGGGGATTTCTAGAATAAACACAGAAATTCAATTAAGGCCTCAGTCAATAAGTAATTATTTCTAAGCTAATTAAAAAATATGGACATCAATTAAATGTTGCCAAGGTTAATTATTGAGCATTGGCTTTTCCAGACACTCTAACGATGTGTCTAGACTTTAAAGACATATTTTCATCAAAGTTAGTTTTGTTTAAGTCTGTGGTGCACATCCTCCAATGTGTGTGCAAAAAGTGGGTTGGAGAGCACACAACTATGACTAAAGGAGCATATAGCTTATATTTTAAAGTAGATGTTCAAAAATAAAGAAGTTTTAAAAACTACCATACAAATACTACTATTGATTAACGTAGTAGCAACAATTAGCACAAGAAAATGGCATGTACAAGTACATGCACAAATAGGTTATAAGGAGTGCAATGGGGGGAGATATAAAACATTTGCACCACGTTGGTTTAAGCTACTTGCAGCTCTTATAATAAAGACTTGTAAAGAATTGAGTTTTCATTGTTAAGCAGTTAGACTCCTCACAAGAAAGATGTTTTTCATATTGTTGATGTCCAAAAGAAGGTGAAAATGCAAGAGATATGACTGTATAAGTAACGACTTTAAAAAGAAATTTGAATACAAGCATTCTGTTTTCCAATGCTTAT